TGTAGAGGGTCAGAGAAAAGTAAAGAACTTCAACAAGATGGATTGGCACAGTGACTGCAATGTTGGGCTTAAGCGTAGCAATGTTTGTGAGGATGGTGCAGGACCAGGCAGTGTTTCATTCTGTTGTACACAAGGTTGCTGTGAATCAAAACCGACATGATGGCATCTAAAAAAAACAATAGAAATTGAGATCAGGGCGATCGTGATATTCCCTTTCAGTAATGAGTCACATGATAATAAGTCCATGTATATCTGGACTATATGACGTTTCATTTATTCAATGGGGAGTTGAGAGGGTCTATGTGTAGTACTCAAGTATTGGACATGATTCTAATGTGAGTCAAGTGTGTCTAGAGGCTTTATTCACACCTATTTTCTTTCAGTCAGCAGTGCTTCCTAATGTCTTGGTTGCATGAACTGATTTTAGTGGAATTAAACTTGAATAGCTGGAAATTATATAATTAATTTCATTCAGCTTTAATGAAAGTAAGGTGCCCTGGTGGTGCCACGTTAAAGCACTTAGCTGCAACTGAAAAGTTGGTGGTTCGAACCCACCAGCCACTCTGTGGGAGGAAGATGAGGCGGTCTGCTTCTATAAAGATTTACAGCCTTGGAAACACTATGTGGCAGTTCTGCTCTGTGCTTTAGGGTCACTATGAGTCAGAATCAACTTGACAGTTACAAATTTGGTTTTGGTTTGGTTCATTAAAGTCGATTAAAATGACTAATTGAATCAAGCCTAACAGCATGACACCTGGTGGTAGTCAGCTACATAACAGTAGCTGCAAGTGCCCAGGACTCTGCGGATAAACTAGTTCATGTGTACTGATGAGTTGGTATAAAAATTTCTTCCATTGATAACCTCAGAAAGGCCATGAGTGGACTCTAGTAAAGATTTTTGGAGTTGTTTAAAAAAGAAGAAATTTTAATGCAAACTTATGCGTTTTCTGAAGATTATGTTTTCTCTATGATAATGCTGAGTAAATGTTACACAAAGCTAGAACATATTGACTTGGCATGCTTCTAATTTATATTTTACTGCTATCTAGTTTTGTTTTCTAAAAATAGAGTTGAAGACCCTATTTGTTTTCAGAGACCTTAGCTGCTGGACCTACTCCTAAGTGGGTGTCCATCTATTTTCGTGTGTTGAAATCTGTTTTATGGCAAAAATTTTCAATTGTTTTGAAATCCCCATGGTACATGAGAAGTATTTGCATGTGCAGAAATTTTTTCCTTCCACTGGAAATGTTAACACAGTTGACTAACAACTTCTGTTTGACTCTCTTTCCTTTCCTTGCTTCCATGGCCCGACCTCATCAAGCTTTGGTTGCTTCTCTGAGTCCTTTTTACTTGTACAAACTCTGTCTTCTTCTTTTAATATATCAATTTTTTAGGTGAGTTTATTAACTTGGGACAGCTTCGGCTATCAACTTTAGACTGTTTCTAGTTATGACTTTTTTTTCAGACTTGCAAATTCAAATGTCTGACACTGAAATTGCTGTAAACTCCATAAAGGCCTGGGGTGGATCTTCTAATACACTATATCCCATCACATATAGTCCAAGACTTAAATCTCAACTATATACAAATATATGTATTTTAAATATTACTCTTCTGACCTCCAGTTTTTCCCAATAAAATCTGGACTAAGAGAACTCAATCATCATCAATTACATCCTCTCTGATTATCTCTGAAAACTTCTGGTTGGTTTCTCACATTTACCCTCTTTTCGTCTTGTTATCTAGTTGATTAAGCTCTTATCATGTGGTCTGGACTCCAGCAAATTGTTTTTAGTTCCCTTGCTCCTCTTAGATTAATATATACTCCAGTGATTCTTTTTTTTTTTTTTAAACTTTTTATTGTGATTTGGGTAAAATTTTACAAAGCCGATTTCTTTTACCTTTAACAGTTCATACACACGTGGTCACATTTCCCCTGTGTAACAGCTGTCCTCCCACTTCCTCCCTGCGGTTAACCTTTTCCTTTGTCCTTCTTGCTTGAGTATTACTGCCTTCCCGCATTTCTCCCTGTACAGATGTTGCCCTTCTGATCTCCAATGGTTGATTGTTCTAAGGAATGCATCTAGCTGGTGAGGTTTTCAGCTTGTAGGCCTGTCTACTGGTTGGCTGAGAGTTAAGCCATAAGAATGAGTTCCAGTTTCAGGCCTGAAGGGTGACTTAGGGGCATAGTCTTAGGAGTTTCACCAGTCTCTATCAGACCAGTAGGCCTGGTCTTTTATTTTATGACATTGAGCTTTGTGCCATGTTTTTCTTCCACTCTATCCATGATCTCCAATTTTGATCCCTTTCCGAGCAGTTGACATTGGTAGCTGGGCACCATTTAGTTCTTCTGGCCCCAGGATCATATAGGCTGAGGATCTCATGGTCCATTAGTCCTTTGGACTAAGTGTTTCCATGCATCTTTGATTTTCTTCACTCCTCTTTGCTGTGGATAAGGAGAGACCAGTGCATCCTAGATGGCTGCTCGCAAGCTTTTAAGACTCTAGTCGCTGGTCCCTGAGGTAAGATGTAAAATGATATTTTTTATAACATGTTGTGCCACTCCAGTGATTCTTAATGACGTAAGTGCAGTAGAATCACCTGAGCCAACCCTTACCTCCTTCCCTTCCTCCCATCCCCAGGCGATGGAAATCAGACCTCTGATGGTGGGCCCCAGGAGTCTGCCTAATGCGTGGCTCATAGTTAATAAAGCTTCAGTGGCTACTTTGTTTATTTATCTTGCTTTTGAATTAGGTCGATTTCCCATCTTGTCATTCAAAAAGCCACACTTTGTCCCAGATTAAACTTTTACAGTTTTATCTCCTAATGTCCTCCTTGAAGTAGTTTATAGTCCGAAGAATTGAACCACTGTCCAGGTGTCTGTGTAGGAGTTTGTCTATACTGTTCTTTTACCTGAAATGGCCTTCTTACCATCTCTACTTTTTGAGATTCTTTATTTGAATCAGTCCTACGAACCAAAGACATTTGACTGCAAACCAGAAGGCTGGAGGTTCAAACCCACCAGCCATTCCTTGGAAGGAAGATTGGGCAATCTATTTCCGTAGTGATACTGCCTCAGAAACCCAAGGAGGGGTCACTATGAGTCGGATCCAACTCAACAGCAGTGAGGTACCCCCATCAGATGAGATTCACCCAGCTATGCCTGAAGATCTTTGAGATATCACGGGGGGGTGGGGGTGGGTGCGAGTGCCTGCAGTGTTGTCTGGGGCAGTGCCTGATGCAGATGCCTTAGGAGACATTGCTGAATGTCCTCGGGGCTCATGCCCACCACTTATTTTTCCTTTTGGACCTATAACTAGAATTTAGTCCCAGCGAGGCTCAAAAGGAAGTACAAAGTGCAACCCAGGAAGAGATATACTATATTCTAAAGGAACTGCTTGGCTTTTCTGATACATAAGAGAGAAACCTGAAGAATATGTATAGGATTGGCTTTTAAGGGTGTGAAATAATGGTGCAAGGAACATAAAGTTGGAGCAGTCTGAGTTTATTGGTATGAGCCCACTAAACAAAGATTCTTCATTCAAAGTTTCAGCTCAATCAGTTCAAAAAAGGATTTAATAGTTTATTTGGTTGGTTTGTAGAAGCACGTACTACACTGGGGCCTACACTAAATCAAATTGAAGTACCAAACCGTTCTTGATATGCTGTAAAAGAAAGTATCCAAAGGCTTAGGGAAATTACATGTTAGAGTGGATTTATCAGGTGAAAACCATAGACCCAGACGTGGAGTGGCCAAAAGACAGATCTTTCACTTCCAGGGTAAGGAACAAATTTGTGGAGGGAACCCCTGGGGAACAGCTGGGATTGCTGTTTTGTGTAAGTCAGATTTGACAGTGGGAACTGCCTTAACAAAGTAAAACATGTGACTTCCATGGGTTTGATTGGACCTATGGTGGTAGAGAGCAAATAACCCAACAAAACAAAACGAAACAAAACCAAACCAAACCCAAAAAATCCATTGCCATTGAGTCTATTCTGACTCATAGCAAAGCCCCATCTGCCTCTTCTTCCTCCTGTGGAGCAGCTGGTGGGTTTGAACTGCAGACCTGGTTAGCAACGAAATGCCTTACCCACTTGATGCCACCAGAGCTCCTTAGGGGCCAAGTAGTGACGATTTTTAAAGACAAGGTGGGCATGGCTACCATAATGGACAGCAGATTCAAAAGAGTAATCAGAATAGTCTGCCTTACGTGGCATTGGCTGCTTAGTCTTGATGTCCTAGGAGTGAAATAGATGGGAAATCTAAATATTTACTTGATCTGTACAGGCAGAATTTCTAGGTCAAGTGAACGACGGTCTAACTCAAATCTCTAGACTAGAAAGTCATTGCCCCTCAATCAATTCTCAGACTTGAGCCAGTATACAGAACCCAGCCTAGGATATATAGTTTATATTTTGTTTGACTTAGTATGTTCCCCATAAGACTTTACATTTTCTTACATACTGGCTTTTCCCCTGAAAGCTTAAAACCCTCTCTCTCTGACCATGACTAACAAAATCCTTGACTCTTCCTTAAGTTTCTACAGAGAGAACTCTGTACTTGCTCTTTGTATTTCCTCATTACTCAGTGACTCCTCACAGCTACAGTGCCAATTTCAGCTCCATCACTCATTGAAGTTTCTGTTCCTTCTGTGTTTTTTCTGCCTCCATCACCCTTTATAGAGTCAGTTACTTTCATCCTTGATGGAACTCTTAAACATCTTTCTATCATGGCACATACAGTAATATTAACAGATTCCTTTTACTGTCAATGTCTCTCTTTAGTGCCTGGCACATACAGAGTAGGTGTTCAGTAAATTTCTATTATTGGGTCAGTAAAGTATGCACCAGTCAGCAGCAGTGCTTCTCCCATTTCCATGGCAGACTTAGATGCATGTAGAAAAATCTACAAATTGAAAAACGGATTGAGAAAAATAGATACAGTTACATGATGGTAAATAAATATGTACCTTTTTTTTTCTTTTTAATTTAGAAAAATGTGATAAAGAAAATACTGAGAAAAAGATAAATCAAGCTGCCAATCGTCACTTCACACATGGAGAGATGCAAGACCAGTCCATTTGGGGAAATGGTTCAGATGATGAACTCATCAGAAGTAAGTAGTTTTTAGAGAAAATTGCAATGATTTGAAGATATAACAATAATCATATGCTGTCAGTTAATTGTCACGTCTAATTCTCTGTACTATCATACAAGTTTATTCATGTAAAATATATATATTTTTTAATCATTTAAAATATAGAGCTAAAACTAAGATTTAAATACTGTATTTTTTTTCACATCTAACATACCCACATATATAGCGTGTGTTCTGGTTCCCTAGTGGTGCTCTGACAGGAATATACCACATGGGATAGCTTTAACAAACAGGAGTTTATTCTTAAAATTTGGAGGCTTGAAGTCTGAGTTCAAAGTGCCAGGCTCTAGGGGCTGGGTGAAAGCCCCTCAACCTCGGGCTTCAGCTCTGCCTCCTGCTCCTGGCCACCAAAGCTGGAGGCTTTTCTTCACTTAGACAGCTGCTGACTGCTGAGACTGACAAGCCCAAGGTTGACAAGTAAAAAGGCACAGTTCCAATGTTACCAACCCACATGGCAGGCCATTAATTCAAGTCCATTGAAAGTTCCAAGTCAGCAGAGCATGGCAGGCTGCTGCTCAGCAATGACACAGCTACATGCAGGATTCAAGTGTGCCATAGGCTAGAGACCATTCCCAAAGCTGTTTCTTATATACGGGAAGCAGACCACATACCCAAAGCAGCTACTCAGTTGCTCCAATAGATTATACTGTGAAGTTAATTACTAATCTCACCGTGAGGAATAACCATATTCAGCTGCCTAGCCATTCAACTATGCTCAGCCAAACTGACACACAAACTTAACCACCACAGTGTGTATATGCTTATAACGTACATAGTACACACAGGAAACTAATGTGGGAAGGGGTTGCATGATTTGCAAAGAAATGGTGTAGTGTGTGTGTGTTATTTGCTTTAAAATATGGTAGTGCTATGCATCAGCTTTATTCTTTTCTTTAGAAAGAACAAACTGTCCTATGAATTTCTTAGTCTTTTTTAATCCTTCAAGAACTGGTTTTCTTCCCCTTTCTCCCCCTGACCATCTTGAGGATGCGTGATCTACATGAACACAGACTTCAAGAATTTCTTTTTATTATTTCATACTTTATATCCTGTATAAATTCTTCTCAAATTTTGCCAATATACGGTCAATTTAATTTAATATACATTCAACTTTTCTTTCAGTAAGTTGTACTCATTTTTTTTTTCCTTCTAAGATGCCAAGTGTATTTTTTTAAAAAAATCTTTTCATTCTATTAGCTAGTTTACTGCTTCTGGAGAATATTAGAATCCTCACAACTAGTATTTCTACTCTTTTAGTTATTCCTTTTATGTAATTGAACAACTAGCCTGTGATTGTGGTTTTGTTGAAAAGTGGTAATTTTGCTTTGTTGACTAGATTTGTTTTTAGGCAAGAGGCAGTTTTGAGCAAGGTGAGACTTAGAGTTGAGCAGATATTTCTGGATCTCTGCATTAAAATCATTCTGAATCTAAGTAAATGAAATTTTTGACAGTTTTAACATTTTGTCCATTTATCATTATGTTGCTAATTGGTCCAATCGTGAGGATTTTTGTTTTCTTTATGTTGAGGTGTAATCCGTACTGAAGGCTATAGTCTTTGATCTTCATCAGTAGGTCTTTCACATTCTCTTCACTTTCACTGAGCAAGGTTGTGTCATCTGTATATTGCAGGTTGTTATTAAGTCTTCCTTCAATTCTGATGCCTCCTTCTTAATATAGTTCATCTTCTCATATTATTTGCTCTGCATACTGATTGAATAGATATGGTGAAAGGTTAAAACCCTGACACACACCTTTCCTGATTTTAAACCACAGAGCATCCCGTTGTTCTGTTCAAATGACTGCCTCTTGGTCTGTGTACAGATTCCTCATGAGCTCAGTTAATTGATTTGGAATACCCATTCTTCTCATAGTTACGCATAATTTGTTATGATTCACACAGTCACATGCCTTTGCATAGTTAATAAAACACAGGCAAATACCTTTCTGGTTTTCCTCTGCTTTTAGTCAAGATGTATCTGACATCGGCAGTGATACCCCTCGTTCCACATCCTCTTCTGAATCCAACTTGAATTTGTAGCAGTTACATGTTGATGCACTATGTAACCATTTTTTAATTATCTTGTGCAAAACTTTACTTGCACATGATATTAATGTGATTATGTGATAATTTCCCCTTACTGTTGGATGACTTTCTTTGGAAATGGCACTAATTTGGATCTCTTTCAGTCGATTTTCCAGGGAGCTCTCTTCCACATTTCTTGTCATAGATGAGTGTGTGCTTCCAACATTGCATCCATTTGTTGAAACATCTCAGTTGGTGTTGTGTCAACTTCGGGAGCCTTCATTTTCACTAATGCTTTAAGTGCAGCTTGAATTTCTACCTTAAGTACCATTGGTTCTTGGTCATATACTGCCTCCTGAAACATTTGAACATCGATCATCATTTATTTTTAGTACAATGGCTCTATGTATTCTTGCCATCTTCTTTGATGCTTCCTGCACTGTTCCACATTTTGCCCATAGAATCCTTCCATATTTCAACTCAAGGCTTGAATGTTTTCTTCAGTTCTTTCAGCTTGAGAAATGACTGGCATATTCTTCCCTTTGGTTTTCCAGGTCTTTGCACATTACCTTATAATATTTTACTTTGTTTCCTTGAGCCACCCTTTAAAATCTCTGTTCAGCTCTTTTACTTCATCATTTCTCCCTGTTGCTTTGACTCTTCTGCATTCAAGGACAAGTTTCAAGTCTTTGCTGACATCCATTTTGACCTTTCTTTCTTTGTGGTCTTTATAATGACCATTTGCTTTCTTAATCCACCATCTGCTCCATGAGAGAAAAATGCAGCAGTCTGCCCCAAAACAGATTTGCAGCCTTAGAAACCAGAGTTCTACTCTGACCTGTGCTGTGTGTCAGACCAATTTGATGGTAGTGGTTTGAGTGTGCTTTCTTCATGTATAATGTCCTTGATGTCACCCCACAGCTTGTCTGGTTTGGGTCATTAATGTTAAATGTGGCAGATCTATTCTTGGGATCGTCTTTAAATTGAGAGGGGACGTCCAAGAGTATCAAAGGCTGTACTTTGATACTCTTGGACATGTTTTAATTTTCTCCAGCTTCAGCTTATACTTGCATATGAGCAATCCGTTTGTTCCACATCCAGCCCTGACCTTCTGACTGATGATACTGAGTTTTTCCATCAGGTCTTTCCACAGATGTCAGTTTGATTCCTGTGCATTCCATCCAACGAGGTCCACATGTATGGTTGCTGTTTATGTTGTTGAAAAAAGGTATCTGCAGTGATTAAGTAGTTGGTCTTGCAGAATTCTATCATGTGATTTCCAGTGTCATTGCTGTCACCCAGACCATATTTTCCAGCTACCCTCTTTGTTTCTACTTTTTACACTCCAATCACTAGTCACTATCACTGTATCTTGATTGCATGTTTGATCAATTTCAGACTATAGAAGTTGGTAAGAATCTTCAGTTTCTTCATCTTTGGCATTAGTGGTTAGTTCATAAATATGAATAATAGTCATATTTACTGGTCTTCTTTGTAGGGTTATGGATATTTTCCTGTCACTGACAGCATTGTACTTCAAGATAGTTCTTGAAGTGCTCTTTTTGACAATATATGTAACATTGTTCCTCAGTTATCATTCGTAGCATAGAAAACCATATGATTGTCAAGGCAGACATGTGCTTAAGGCATTTGACTGCTAACTAGAAGAAGGCTGATGGTTCAAACCCACCAGCCACTCCTTAGAAGGAAGGTTTGGCAATCTACTTCCGTAGTGATACCACCTCGGAAACCGAAGGAGGGAGTGCTATGAGTTGGATCCGACTTCACGGCAGTGAGTTTGGTTTGGTTTTTGGTTAAGCTAAAACTATTGTTTGGTTTTAAGATGACTTCAGGGGATATTTTTGGTTTAAGGCTTAAAGATTAACTTGGAAGTAGTTTCAGGGATTCATCTACCCTTCATGGCTGCAGAAAATTTAGAGGCCGTGAGAATTTGAAATTCTGTTGTGTCTTTTCCCCCCTTTTCATCAGGATTTTTCTGTGGAATTTTTGATCAAAATGTTTAGTAATGGTAGCTGGATACCATCCAGTTCTTCTGGTGTCATTTAGCAGTCTTCTCTGCCATACCTGATGTCACTTTACATATTCCAGAGAGGAAAAAGGAGTAAAATTGCTTTGTGGGAAGCAAGTGCTTTTTTTTTTTTTAAAAAAAAAGTAAAAAATAACTTTATAACTTAGATCTTCTTTTGTGTGTGCATGTGAACTTATAATACATAGGTATATGTGTTCTAATTACTTTGAAACCTGCAGTATATCTTTCCGCTCTCAAATGACTAACCCTTGTCAGTAGCAAACCAAATGGAATAAATCAGAAAAAAAGAATGAAAAATTAATTTAACAGAAAATAAACAATAGCAATAAAGAACTGTTAAAGGAAAATTCCAGTTTTCAAACAAAAGCTCTAACCATGAGTGTGTTTTAGTTTAAATTTAGAACCATTTTGGTTTTCTACACTGTCGTCTTGTGGAAGGAACTAGTAGAAAGGAAGGAAATGAGATTCAGAAATTGGCGAGAAGCATCAGTTGAAAAACAATTTAAACATTTATGTCACTTTTTCTAAAGAAATGAGTATTCTTTCAAATAAACATTTATATTAAAAACATATAGTCCTGAGTCACTGTTTTGAAATTTAAGTCTTGTGAGGTATTGACATATTTTATCTCTAGTTTATTAACAACCAGAAGGAGTTAGTGAGAGCTAGAAAAGGTCTTAGAGACAGTTTTATTTCATTTTTTTTGGGGGGGGTGATGATTGTTTTTTTTCAAATTTTCCCATATTCACAGAATTGTAAGCCTCTCTCTTTCTGTATGTTTGTGTTTAGCTTAATTGATTTATTTCCCTAATCTCCCTTCCCAAGGCCCACACTAGGAGAATGTAAACAAGAAAGAAGTCTTAGAACAAAAGTAAAATTCACTGT